GAGGGATTTCTGAGAGAATATCGAAGTGAGGCATAAAGAACCATCCTTGGAAAAAACAGCACTGAAGCAAGAAAAACGCTGAGGGGGCTCTCTAGAGAGTATTCTGGAAAGAGTTGCTCTGTCTGAATATCCAGGGGGTGGCAGACACCATGTAAGAGAGATCCATCTATAAAGAGAAGCTGTGCATGAAACCACAGAGCCTCCATCATCCTCCACTGACACTTATCTAGAAATCCACGTCAGTGTTAGCTAAAGGATGCGAGTTCAATTTCAACAGCGATAATAATCAGTAAGAACAGATGTAAACACTAATTTTAGACTTCTCATATACACAAAAGCAGAGAGGAAGAATGATGGGAGGTTTTACAGCAAAGAGTACATCTCTCTCAGGAACTTTCTCAGAAGCCAGGCACGTGGCAGTAAGCCTCCAGCGAGGACAGGAGGATGTAGATGAGCCACAGCATGAGGAAGAGGAACACGGTGAGCAGCTTGGCGGTTCGCGGGCCCCCCAGCTCGCCCCCGGACACAGAGGGCCGGCGGCGGTACAGCAGTATCAGAAAACACAGCAGTGCCATAATGGTGAAGAGGGTGACGGAAAACGCCAGCGACCCTGGCGGGACCTGGAATTTTTTGCCCTGACTGTGCCAGTACACAGCAGCGATGGTCCACGCCACTCCAATACCCAGGAAGACATTAACTGCATTACTACCCGTCACATTTCCAATGGATGCATCGGCATATTGGTCCTGGATGGCTGCCACCTTGCTGGCAAAAGTATCTGTGGAGGGCAAAAGAAAAGACAAGATGAAAGAAGAATGGTTAGAAGTGGAAGAGCCACAGAAGAACATTAGAAGCTCATAGCTCAGGACAGTGTTTTCCAAACCTGTTCCTGGAAGCACATCAACAGTACACATTTCGAAGTCTTCCTAATATAACACACCTGATTCAACGCATTAGCAGAGACCTGAAATGGATGGGGCGGATAAGGATAATGCATCCAGTAACAGGGTTTGGAAACACTGGCTCAGAAGACAGAATGGAGGTATCAATTATTTTTAATCAACATTGTCTCACATGTTTCTTCTAAAAGTCCATATGAGAAAGAAAAGCTGAAACAACTGAGATAATAGTTGACATACAATAACGAGTACAGAAATACAAAATAAAATGAATGTTGTTAGCAATTCAGTCTTGGAAGAACTTGATAAGAAATTAAGTTCAAATTAAAATATCTGACTTTTGATTGTAGACTTTGGTATCTTGGAAATCTGAGCACAGCCTGTGCTCAAATTTTCCACTGTGATCTCCTGTGAATCTCTAGACGAGACAAATATGAGATTACAACTGTCTTTTTCTCAGAAGAAATATCTGGCAATAAGGATGGGCGATAGACAGGTTAAGACAATAAACCAGTAAAAAAAAGAAAAGTAGTAGTGTTGAGTTATAAATCTGGGTTTTCAGTCTGATTTGAATGTGATGTGATAAAAGACAACAGAAAAGCAGTAATGGCAAGGAAACACATCTTTCTATTGAGTGCAAACAAAAATATCACAGTCCAACTAGTGAAGTTTGATTAACAACAAATGAGTCTTATGAACTGATTTTTTTAATTAATCATTCATTCAAAAAGACTCGAGGACTTATCAGTGTGATGAATGCTTTGCTAAATGAACTCACTTAATCTATCAGAGTGGTTACTGAATCAACATCTATACAGGTAAAATACTTCCAAAAAAATTTGGATGTGCAGAAAAATATTTGGGAAAGTATGAGTCACATTGCAAGTATTGCCAATATTGTTTTCCTATGCTTCTAACTTAATTTATACCTTTAATCTTTTTT